CAAGATAGATTAAAGACTTAAATATAAGACCTAAAACCATAAAAACCCTAGAAGGAAACCTAGGCAATACCATTCAGGTTATAGGCATGGGCAAAGACTTCATGACTAAAACACTAGAATTGTTAGCATCTTAGTTCACTGCTGACTAGCAGAGCTCCTCATCTCATAGTAATCCTGGATACCATTTCAATTGCCTTTAAAAAATAGCAAATTTATTAAGATATATTTCACATCCCCTCTAATTTACTCATTTTAAATGTAAAATTCAATGACTTTCAGTGTATTCACAAAACTGGGCAACCATCACCACAAATTTTAGAACATTTGCATCATTCCAGAAAGAATACCCATTAACAGTCACTCCTCAATTTCCCCATTCCCTTTCCCTTCAACCCTAGACAACCACTAATCCACTTCTGTGTCTATGGATTTGTCTATTCCGGACACTTCATGTAAATAAAATCATATATTATGTCATTTTTTTGTGACTTGCTTCTTTTCCTTAGCACAGTGTTTTCACAGCTTACCCATGTTGCAGTGTGATTAACATTTCATTCCTTTTTATTGCTAATACCCCATTTTTGTTGGGCATTATTACTATTGTCAGTTAATGGACATTTAGGTCACTTCCACTTCTTTTGACTGTTATGAATAATGCTGCACAAATTTTTGTGTGGACATGTGTTCTCATGTTTCATATGGAATAGACTTGCTGGGTTATATTGTTTCAACTGGTTTTCAATGTTGAACAAGGACATCCCCAGATTTTACAACTGATGAACACAGGGAAAGGTATTGATTAATGTTGCCCCCATGGAATTAGAGAAGAGTAAATTTTGTTGCCAACATTACTACATAATTCTTTTTCTCAAAACAAAAATCTGGGTAACAACCTATCACTTATAGAAGAAAAATCAATCAGTCAGCAACTGTGTCCATTGATTATCTAAGGAAGCCTCTATGTTGTTCAGATGTACAAATCACACAAACAAGGTATTTAATGTCAAAAGTCAAACTGTAGCAAGACACTTTCACCTCTTTTGTGTTATATTAATTGTTTAATTGCTAGCTAGAATGCTACAATTTTCAGAGAATACACAGACTGTAATATAGAGAGTGCTTGCCATTATTTTGACATTAATGTTGCACCTTATCTGTTTGTTTAAGAGACAATTTATTTCAACACTGAGCGTCTAGAATTTGTTTAGTGCAGGAGGTAAAAATATCACAAAGACATGTTTACTTTCTTTACAAAGCCCACAGCCCAGTGATGAGGATGAGACTGAATGAGCTCACCAGTCACTAATATCAGACATGCATTAGTGCATGGCTGCTCAGATGAAGGACACAGCACCATCAGTTGGAGACATGGAAAGAGACCCCCAAGGAAAAAGTGGCATTTGATATGTGTGTTGGCAGATGAGTAAGATTTTGATATGCAAATGTATGCGGAGAGAACATTGCAAACTGAAAGAAAATACATGAATAAAGGCAGATAAGCAAAGCAAAGGGTCTATGTGGGTAGTTCAGATTTCAATTCCCTCAATACGGCCTACTAGCCATAATACTTACTTGAATATTTACCCGTAATTTACCTGAATTCTCCAACTTCTTGTTTCCTTATTTTTAAAATGGGCAAAATAATATCATCATATGCTGTGAGGATTAAACAATAATACATTTTAAATGTTTATTACAATATTTAAGACATAGTAAATGCTCAATAAAAGTTAGTTTCAAGGTAATTGGTTGTAATATAGGTAGATGTAAGAGAGTAGAAAGTAGGTTGGACCCATATTGCAGAAAACTTTGATGTGGGATGAGAAGTTGGAACTTCCATTGCAAGCAGTAAGGAAATGTGGAGATTTTAGAGTCAGAAAGCGATCTCATTAGAGCTCCACTGGGCAGGAGCATATAGAATGGGATAAAATTGGATGAGTCATCAGATGCCATGGAATTAGTCCTAGGGAAAGGTAATAAGGACCTGAGATAAGGCAGGAAGTATAGAAATTAAAATGAGGAGTCACTACAAAAGGCTTTATAAAGGTGGGCTATGCAGAATATAGCAACTGCTTACATTTTTAGAGGCAAAAGAGAAGGCAAACTTCAAGCCTGCATAGCTGGAAGCACAATAATGTCATTAGCCAGGAAGAATGAGCTAACAGGAAAGATAATGAGATAATACTTTGGCTCTGAAGAGGCTGAGGTACCTGTGAGGCATCTGTGTGAAGGTATCTGGCAGACAGAAAGGACAATAGAGCACAGAACAAGAGTTCTGACTAGAAACTCTGTATTCACCCTCCAAGAACTATTGGTGGAAGCGAGGGGTGGGTGACACAGATCCTCACAGGAGCGTCGAGATTGCTATAAAGAGGAAGAGAAACAGGAACTCCCAAGTGCATGAGGCCAGTCCTGCGTGTCTAACGAGGTTACCAAGAGGAAAGCCCTTCATAAACCGTCAAGTACTGCAGTGACTCAAGCTGATGAAAAGCAGAAGATTGAACAGCTGTTGTGGAGAAGGCCACAGGGAGCCCTTTCCTGAACCAACAGTACCACTGTGATTTTTTGATAGTTCTCATAAACAGTCAAATGGATTAGTCACACTGCTAGTCCCTTGGGTAGGATGTGATGGCAAAGGAGTCATGAAGCCAAGCTTTTTTGACAAGAACATTTGCTCCTGAATACTTCAAATAACTTGCTGGTTATTCCAATGTTCTCGATTATGTCAACTGCTTTTTGAGTCTGTACATTCAGCCATTTATATAAATTAAGTAATGATCCCTGGGGACTTTGATGGCAAAGCACTGGTAAGGGAATCAATGGTGCCATCTACTGTCCTTTTCTCTGATAGAAACAACTTCAGGAATAAACTCCTTTTCTCCCATCACACATTTTGCATCAGGTCTTTTAAAGTATAAAGAGTTCCACATTTTAAAGTTTGTAACCAGTCAAAGGATGGTCAGTAGCACTGGCCCCTTAAGTGCTAGCAAAATCTTTCTTGATGTCTCCCCACATGGTTTTTGGGAGGTCAGAACCTGAGGCCCAGAAGTCAGGGACCATAAGAGAAGGAGGTCACAAGGCACCAAGCTTTCCAGGAGTCAGCACCTGACACTTGTAATTCCAGTGTTTTCCCCCAAGGGCCTTAAGGCTTCATTCCTTTATCTCCAATTTTCAGATAAGGACTAAGAAAAGTTAACTGAGGTCAAATGCTAGTAAGTGGCTGAACTAGAAGCTGAATCTTGATTTGCCTGACTCCTGTGTTTTTTCTACTAAATAACTTCTTTCTGTCAGATTTGTGACAATTCTTGCAGACATTTACCATCACAGTTCCGAGCATCTGTCCGCAGACTCCAGCTAGTGGGGAAGCTGCACTTCATGGCATTGGATCTTTTATTTTTCTTTCTTAAACCATTTAGCACTTCACCATTTATGCTAAATTCATCATTCCATATATTTTTCTGGATGCATTTTATTTTCAAATGCCTCTATGATTGAATTAAAGAAATCGACTCCTATTTCAGTGCAACTGTTTTTTCTATACTACTCTTAGATGAATATGTGACAAGAGAAGGGTTAAAATCAATTTCATGTCAGTGAGCAGATACATCATTATTAGTACTTTTTAAGTACTTTTATATAACTTTGCTTTTTTTAGAAATGATGTTCTGCTCTGTTGCCTAGGCTGGAGTGCTGTGGCATGATCATGACTCACTGCATCCTCAAACTCCTGGGCTCAAGAGAGTCTCCGGCCTCAGCCTCCTGAGTTGTTAGAATTACAGTCATGAGCCACTGTGCCCAGCTCTATATAAATTATTATAGAATATTATTTCATAATCAAAATTGCAAACATAAAACAATTTGAAAGTGTTTAGCAACAATAAAGCTCCATTCTAGAAATGTAAAAATTACTAAAAGTTGTACATTTCAGTTATTCATGGATAACAGAAATATAACAGCCATTTTGTATAAAATATATGATAAATCAGAGTAAACTAAGAATTTATGTATAAATTAATAGTTTTCATGCTTTCCCCAAACAATATGCTGAAAAGCTCTCACTTGCCCTAGGGAAGTACATATACATGTCTTAGTGAGGTCTGCAGTTTTGCTAAAATAAATCACTACTTGCCAACATTAAGGGGAAACAGTAATTTATAGGACTGCAGTGAATACAGATTTTTAAAATTATGGTCTGTCCTAGGGGAAAACTACCCCTGTACAAATGTATTTACAAGAAAATAGTTGGAAATGTTTGGAAGCCTGGGCACTGTGGCATAATATTTTATTACCATCATTATTTGCCTAAGTTAAGGTGCTTATCAGATTTGATCTCAGCCCTAAGAAAATTTAAAGTAGTAAAATAGCATTCAGAGAAGACCTACATCATTACAGCAATATCCCTGATTCTTCAGATTTGGAGAGCTCTGAAGTTTTTTGAGCTCTTTATCACACTGCCTCTCCAATGAGGTTCCTTGCCTAGAATAAATAAGAAATTAAAATATACCAATTTATAAGTCATTTGACAAGAATAATTTGTAATTTAGGTTGGACCTAAGGATGAGCTATGATGGTTTTATTGAGAAGATTAAAACTAGTGTCCAGTCTCTGCGCGGAATTTTCTTCCCTCTAGCCAGACCACATTTGAAAACTTTTCCTTTTATGGCTTCAGTTAAAGAGAGAGTTGACCTCTACACAAACTCTCATGCGCACACATAGAGTTGTGTGGGGTTTTTCTTTTCTATCACCCCCCATCCTTTCATATTTTAGACAACCTAGGCCCAGGGTCCCCCATGTTCATCCCTTTCCTGCTGAGACCCAGGTCTTTTTGGAGCAGACTCCTTCCTTAGATTAATCCCATTGTCTGACTTTTCAACATCCCACAAAGGGCTGCTATGTCCTAATAGTTAAACAAACAAACAAAGAGAAAACACACACGGTCACATGGATTTGAGCCACTTCAAGTTCATGTTCTTGGACTTCTCCCTTCCGCTTACCCTAGAGCTGTCCCACGGGATGCCCTTGGCAGCGTTCTCTTTCATGCTCTTCAAAGGCTCCCCCTTCCTCAGACCCAACCACCTCCCTTCATCCCTATTCTCAACAGATGACCTCCCCACTCACAAGGTAATCTACTCCTCACCCACCTTCGTTCCTTTTTTTTTTTTTCTTTCCTTTCATTCCAGGGGACAAGGCTACTTCTATCACCTTCCTCGGGAATCTTGTTCCAGTAACTATTATCTCTCTGGTATGAATGTTCTATCTCTCCTTGATTGATTCTTTCCCTTAGCAGACACAGACTCTCCCGGATTCCCTGCCACCTCCCTGGTCCATATCTGGGGCTGACCACCTATTAATGTAGGTGGTCTCAGGTTGTTTTCAAAGCTCTCTTCTTTCATTACTCTTTATACTTTTCTTTGGTATTCCCAAATATATTGTGTAACAGTCAGGAGATGGAACCATACCAGTTATGTAATCCCAGCACTTTGGGAGGCCGAGGGGGGTGGATCACGAGGTCAAGAGATCGAGACCATCCTGGTCAACATGGTGAAACCCCGTCTCTACTAAAAATACAAAAAATTAGCTGGGCATGGTGGTGCGTGCCTGTAATCCCAGCTACTCAGGAGGCTGAGGCAGGAGAATTGCTTGAACCCAGGAGGCGGAGGTTGCAGTGAGCCGAGGTCGTGCCATTGCACTCCAGCCTGGGTAACAAGAGTGAAACTTCGTCTCAAAAAAAAAAAAAAAAATTCATATGAAGATTTGTTAATTAGGCATAAAGTTGTTAACCAAGCAACCCAAAGAGTGAGAAGAAAACTCTGAGATATGGCAGAAGTAGCCCCTGCAGGAAGCAACTCCACCTCTAGGGTTGAAAGGACAAAGGAAGAGGCTGTAATTATTAAAACTAGAATGCAGAAAAGAGACTGCCTAGGGTGGGACACAAACCTTGGAAGAGGGGATGTAGTTGGTCACTGCTAGTGTCTCTAGGCAAGGGTAAGAGGAAGCTGGTTTTGCAAGTGTTAGAAAAACTACACACCGGCCCCAACAGCTGTTACTGGAATGATGAGCAACTGCTGGATGGAAGCAGTAAGGCTGTGGGGAGATTCACACCCCTGTCCTCCCTCCAGCCCTGCAGCTTCCCTCTATTGGCAGGGCCTAAGAAAAAGCCACTGGTCAAGCAGAAATGTGGTTTGCAGAGTCCTAGCTCCAGCATCAGAAAGCAAGTATGGAGAGTACATTTGGAGGAAAAGATAAAAATGAGCACAACTCCATAGCCTCAAATATCACTGGGAGGGGCCGGGCACAGTGGTTCATGCCTAATTAATCCCAGCACTTTGGGAGGCCAAGGCAGGTGGATCATTTGAGATCAGGCGTTCAAGACCAGCCTGGCCAACATGGTGAAACCCTGTCTCTACTAAAAATACAAAAATTAGCCAGGCATGTAATCCCAGCTACTCGGGATGACAGAGAGAGACTCTGTCTCAAAAATAAATAAATGAATAAAACCACTGGAGGATTCAACAACCTATTTCCCTAACACAAGTTTCTCTCTTGAGCCCCAGGTCTCTCCCTTGAGTCCCCACCCCCCTTCATGTTGGGCTTCTTGGGGCTATTCCTGAGTGGTTAGGAGTGAGAGCTCTAAGCCAGACTCTATGTTCAATTTCCAGCACTTCATCTTGCTGTCTGTGTGACCTTGGGAAACTTATTTAGCCATGCCATCCTCAACCCTGCATATGTAAACCAGGGCTTATAATACTACCTTCTGATAGGTGGTTATGAAGATTAAATGAGATACGCAAAAGCCCAATCCCAGTTTTCAGTCATTCTTTTCAAAACATCTCACATAATTCTCTGGCTATTGGTACATGTAGATTATTAAAACCAGGGTGCAAATTGATAGTGTACTGCTTTAGAAAAACAGTAATCTTCTGCTAAACCCTCAGCCACATTTATTTTAGAAGGGCCAGGTCCAGATGGATACTATCATTGACTTGATTCTACAATTATTTGGGGATGGGCTCAAGTCTTGCATTTTTTTAGGTACTAGGGCATTTGACTCTCTTTGGGAAAAAGTGAATTATTTGCCAGCCCTAAGATCCTCTGACTGGTGTTAAAGTGCATTTAGTGGGAATGTCATTAACTTTTTCATGGGAAAGATGGAATTGGCCGGCGCCCTGTTTCTCCCTTCCAGTTTTTTTGTGGTCCTGGATGTGTCTAGAGAGGGAAATCCAATGAAGTGTGAGGTCAGGCAGTCCAAGCTCTTCCCCAAGGTGCAGTCAGCCAGCAGGACTTGGTCCTACCTTAAGGCAAACACTACTTCTAAACATTTATTTATGCTTTTGAACCCAAGGTCCAATGGGAACATAAAACAAATGATTCCAAAACAGATTACCCCCCACTGATTTCTTCTACCACACACAGAGAAAAGGAAAACCATGTACAAGCCAATAGCAGGGAACTTCTCCAGAGAGCTTCTGACCACCATGTATGAAGCCCTCAAATACAGCTATGGGGAGAGCAATGCTGGGGAAGGCACATGGACAGAATGAAGGCACAGGTATGTTTTTTGTTTTAATTTTCTTTTCACTAGACCTATCCTTGACTTTTCACAGATTTCCCAGCTGAAGAATCAAGATTGATGATAACACAGGAGAAAAATGTTCCACTGTGGCCAGTTTGTGTTCCTCCAGAGAGTCACTTGCACACACGTGGATGGGCGGCCAGGAGACCTGGTTGACCCCTGAAGCAGCTGGGAGGGTCAGGCTACTCCCTGGGAGCTGGGATGGAGTGACCTCTGTCTTTTGGTTCTCTGGGAGGATACAGCTCCCACTGGCCCTGGTCCCACAGCGGACTGTCACCTCAGATGGCTTCACTGAGGCAGAATGAGTTACTGGTAACAGTCAAGCTCTACGATGTCCTACTGTGTCCCCCTTTGAGAGCACCAAGACTCTGACACTCCTACTGCTGGGCTGTGAAAATGACTAAGAAAAATGTAGTAGGGATAGCTTTTTAAAAAGCATGACAAGTTTTTTAGCCTTGCTCAAAAAATATCTTTTCTTAAGGAAAAAAAGCAAGAGGGGCTGAGGGTGGGCATGGGGGTGGGAGGGAGCTAAAATACTGTGTATGGGAAGTTGCCTTCAAAGGAATACAGGACTGCAGGGTGACTCATGTTCCCTGGAAATTGTTTACGTTCTAATACCAAACCTATAGAATCATAAAACCAGGCTGTATGCAAGCATTTTGCACGTGTTCGTCATCATTGTTACATGTCACAAGTATATTACTTTCATAACTAAGGTATAATCAAGTTGTCTTTACTTTTTATTCTTCCACACTGCAGCGCCCCCTGCCTGACATGTAGAAGGATAATCAACATGCTGGTCCTGCATGAAAGGAAGCTATCATAAACTATTAATGAGAGATGTTTCAGCCATCTTAAAATTGGTGAGAGATACAATTTTCATTTTGTAAATTAGAGTCAGCTTGCAGTTATTCACTGTAAAGAAATAAAGGAAGAAAAGCTTATGGGCTTACGTAGTTGGCTTTTGAACATATTTTATATTAAATATATTTGAGTGTATTTATTTCTACTTTTGAACATAGTTTTCATCTAGGATTATGGAAAGCCAAGCCACTTCCTACAAACTAGACAAAGTACATTGACGTCATACCTTTTAAAAAAACCTGAAAAACAAAACCAAACAAAACCAAGAACACTCTGTTTAAATGAAATTGCTCAGAAGCCCAATATGTAAAATGAGTATAAATGGAGCAGCTCTGGTGCAAGCAGAGATTGCAGGCCTTGAGCCAAGCCCTCTTGGCTGTCATGTCCACCTCATAGTGACACCAAAGGTGCTCTCGGAGACAGCAGTTTACATAGGCAAATGAGCACACACAAAGATGTTCACCATCATTAGGCATTAGGGAAATTCAAATGAAAACCACAATGAGACATCACTGCACACCTATCAAAATAGCTAAAATAAAAAAGGGTGATGATACAAATACTGGCAAAGATAGGGAGAAACCAAGTCACACATGCACTACCAGTGGGAATGTAAAGTGACACAGCCACTCTGGAAAACAGTTTGACAGTTTCTTAAAAAAACTAAACAGGAGCTGGACGCAGTGGCTCAGGCCTGTAATCCCAGCACTTTGGGAGGCCAAGGTGGGCAGATCACCTGAGGTCAGGAGATTGAGACCAGCCTGGCCAACATGGGGAAACCCCATCTCTACTAAAAATACAAAAATTGGCCAGGTGTGGTGGCACGTATCTGTAATACCAGCTACTCGGAACGCTGAGGCAAGAGAATCTCTTAAACCCAGGAGGCAGAGGTTGCAATGGGCCAAGACTGCACCACTGCACACCAGCCTGGGCAATAGAGTGAGACTCCGTCTCAAAAAAACAAAAAAAAACTAAACACATAACTATTATGCAACCAAACAACTGCACTCCTGGGCATTAATCCCAGAGAAGTGACAACTTCTGTTCATACAAAAACCTGTACACTAGTGTTCATATGAGCTCTATTTGTAATAACCTCCAAATGGAAACAACCTAGATGTCTTTCAACAGACGAATAGGTTAAACTGTGGTACATCTATATGATAGAATACTACTCAGCAATACAAATAAGCCAATTATTAACACATTGAACCTGGGTGAATCTCCAGAGGATTACACCATGTGAATAAAGCTCATACCAAAATGTTGCATACTGTATTATTCTGTTTATACAACATTCTTTAAATGACAAATTATAGAAATGGACAAAAGATTCATGTTTGCCAGGGGTTAAGAATGTGAAAAGGGAAGTGGAAATGGCTTTAAAGGGCATGAAGGATTGTGTTGGTGATGAAATGACCTGTATTTTGTCTGTATCTATGTAAATATTCTGGATGTAACAGTGTACCATTGTTTTGCAAAACATTGCTATTGGGAAAATGGGGTTAAAAGTACATGGGATCTCTTTATTATTTCTTACAACTGCATGGGAGTCAAAAACTTTCTCAGAATAAAAAAATCAATAAATTTTTTTAATCATAAAAAAGATGATCTCTCCAAATCCTGTGTTCTGCTATGACTTGAATGTCACTTGTTTCACCCTGTTCAGACTGATTCACGCATCACTCTAGAGATGGCAGTATGCCCTTCAGACAAAGGTCAGGTTCTAGGGGAAGCTTTCCCTCCTTCTAATCCAGTAAAAAGCACTTATTTAACATCATGAATCAACAAAGTATCCAGTGCTGGAAATGAACCTACTGTTTTTTTCCTTTAAGTTCATGCCTTCTCTGCACTAGGTGGTATTTAAGTGAAGGCAGAAAATGCAAGAAAGAAATAATATCAGTGAGAGATGATTAGTTAGTTGGATCATGGCATGTACCTACCTCACTTCAAAAAGGGATTTAGAATATGTTATTTTTAAAATACGTGTTCTATACTGTGGTAGGCTGAGTGGTAGTCCTCCAAAGAGGTCCATGATTTAATCCTCAGAACATGTGAATATGTTACCTTGCAGGGTAAAAGGAATTTTGCAGATGTGACTAGTTAAGGATCTTGAGATGAGAGGTTAACCTGTGCTATGCAGTTGGGCCTAATATAATCTCTGAACAGAGAGAAGAGAAGACAATTTGTTAAGGAAAGCAGAGGCTGGAATGATAATGGCCATAGCCAAAGAATACTGCCAGCTGCTGGAAGCTGGGAAAGGCAAGGAATATTCCCTCTGTAGACTTCAGAAGGAATCAGCCCTGCTGACACCTTGATTTTAGCCCTATGAGGTTCATTTCTGATTTCTGACCTCCAAGGTTGTAAGAGAAGAATATGTGTTGTCTTAAATCACTAAGTTTGTGGTAATTTGTTACAATGTCAACAATAAATTCACTGAAGGAGAAGAAAATAAAGAGGGAAAATATGGTAAAGCAATAGCTTAGTCTTTCATGTGTTTAATTTTATTGAAATACTAATTTGAAAGCAAGATTTACTTCTTATAAGCTCTATGTAGACTATGCACTTGAAAGCTTACCAAAAGCAAAAAAAACAAAACCAAAAACCAGTCAACTCCCATAGCAAGACATTATATGATCTCTAATAATTTACTTTTTTGAACTCTGCTAGTAAAAAAAGCTCATGTTTGAAATTCCTTTTAGGCCAGGTGCAGTGACTCACACCTATAATCCCAGCACTTTGGGAGGCCAGGGCGGGCAGATCACTTGAGGCCAGGGGTTCAAGACCAGCCTGGCCAAAATGACGAAACCCCATCTCTAGGAAAAATATGAAAATTAGCCAGGCACGGTGGCCTGTAGATACTCAAGAGGCAAAAGCAGGAGGATCCTTTGAATCTGGGAGGCGGAGGCTGCAGTGAGCCGAGATCATGGTACTCCACTCCAGGCTGGATGATAGAGTCTTAACTCTGTCTCAAAAAAAAAAAAAAAAAAGAAAGAAATTAAAAAACATTTTAGTAAGCATTTCTATTATTTATCATAGTCTCAGTAAGAGTTAAGGTCAATATTATCTCTTTATTTCCATTTTAGGAAACCAAGAGTCAAGTAAATTACACTAAACTATTTAGAGCTTGGCATGCGTTTCTCTGTTCTTTCTCTATTGCATATTTTGAAGGTGGCTTTTTTTCCATGACCTCTGGCATCATTCTTTTTACAATTAAATCATCACTATTTATTCATTAAACAGGTAATTATTGCCATATATAAAAATATATACACATAGATACATATGTACACATATAGAAATATACATATATGTACATATGCACACACATACATATCATAGGAATTAAATTACTCCCCTTATTTATGGTAGACATGTGAAAACAGTGAAGACACTGATTTTCAAAATGGTGAATTTCAGAACATGATATCTCTCATGCCCTAGAAAGTCTTTAGGATGTTGTTAAACAGTAGTTTGAGAGCACTTTAAAAAGATGTATAATCCTCAGGAGTCAGCAACATGGTTTCCTGATGGCTTCTAGAATGACAAATCTCAATAGAGTTGGTATTCACCTAATATAAGAGCTTTGGAACATTCTCTTGTCCCAGTGTATGCCGCATCCCACAGGCTCCAACTGGCATAGGACTCTGTTTCAGAGAGTGCCTATTAGCATGTGAATGACTTGAGAAGAAACAATGTTCTTGCCAAGATTATGTATGTATGGCTTAAAATATAATTAGAATATGCTTTTAAAATGTGTCACACATGTTTACAAACCACAGAAGATCAGAGTATCTCTCTGAGAGCATCTAACCCAGCCCTACAGAATCCTTCTAGAGCATCTACTTGAATATCCCTAGGGAATGGGAAGGTACATCCTCCCTGTTCAACCTATTCATTAGAGAGTTAATTTTTATAGAGTAAAACTCTGTCTCTATCTGACATCAACTCATCATTCATCTGTAAATAAAAAATAAAATCCTTTCCTTTTTTTGAGACAGTTTCACTCTTGTCACGCAGGCTGTAGTGCAGTGGCGATCTCCACTCACCGCAATCTCCGCCTCCCAGGTTCAAGTGATTCTCCTGGCTTAGCTTCCCGAGTAGCTGGGATTACAGGCAGCTGGCACCACGCCTAGCTAATTTTTGTATTTTTAGTAGAGACGGGGTTTCTCCATGTTGGTCAGGCTGGTCTCGAACTCCAGACCTCAGGTGATCTGCCCACCTCAGTCTCCCTAAGTGCTGGGATTATAGGTGTGATCCACTGTACCGGCCCAATCCTGTCCTCTTTTAACACCTGGAGACAGTATCAGGCTATATCAGGCCATGCTTGCATTGCTGTAAAGAAATACCCAAGACTGGATAATTTATAAGAAATGAGATTTATTGGCTTGCAGCTTTGCAAGATGTCAACTTGAAGCATAGTGCCATCTGCTTCTGGGGAGGCCTTGGGAAGTCTCCAAACATGATGGAAGGCAAAGGGGGAGCAGGCACATCACACGGCAAGAATAGGAGCAAGGGCCAGGGGAGGTGGCACACACTTTTAAATCATCAGATCTCATGCACTAAGGTAAAGATAGCACCAAGCCATGAGGAATCTTGCCCCTAAACACCTCCCACCAGGCCCTGCTTCCAGCAGCGGGGATTACAATTCAACATGAGATTTGGGTAGGGACAAATATTAAAACTGTATCACAGGTCCTGCTTCCAAAATTTTTCTTTTTTCCCAAGTTAAACATGCATTTTTTCTTAACTTTTCACAGGTTATTTTCCAGGCAGATCTAGCCATACTAATCTCCTCTACTGCAAATTTTTCTAAACCAGTTTTATAACGTATTGCTCAGGCCAGGACAAATACTCCAGATGTCATCTGCCACAACAGGTTATAACAGTTATGAATATTCTGTATTCATCTGTGTGGCATGAGATCTCATTAGCTTTACTGAAATAATTACATCAAACTATGTTCTTTTGTATCTTTTTTCAAGTCACCATAAAAAATGTTTTATAGAAAAAAATGTAAGGATTAAACACTGTGTTACTCTAAAAGAGATATCCTACCAAATAGACACTTAGGGTATTGTGTTGGTTCAGCCAGCTGTGACTCCACCTCACAGTTCAATAAAGAGCCAGCATTTCTCAATTCTCTTCAAAAGGCTGTGCTGGAAGACTTCCAACCATGTTAGTCATGGTACAATATAGGTATGGCATTCCCCAGATGTAACAAATTAATAATGAGGATAATTTGGCCTGTCTTACAATTACTGAACTACTTTTCTGGCTCCTAGTGATAACTTCTTTTCTAATGTTCTTCCACCATCTGTTTAAAATGAGCTCTTGAATTTTTCTAGGACATGATATCATCTGACAGGATTTGACCTTTTGAAAATCTGGATGAGTAGATGTCTCCATTTTCCTAACATCACCTATCCCCCAACAGTTTTGAAGATTATATAGAACAGTTCTGAAAGCATCTCCATATTTGTTCGTTGCCCTGGGATAAAATTTATCTAGACTTAGGCATTTGCACGAAACTAAAAACAACCAGAATCCAAAAGGACTCCCCTGCCTGCCAGTGACTTAGGTGTCGCTTAATAACTGTGGCAGAAGGGGATCCGCAGTCACCAGGCTCTTTAAAGATACAATAGAGGCAGCGTTGTGGCC